GCACTCAAACATCAAGTCTACTGCAGCAACAACTACGGATCCTTTTTTAGTGCATTTTTGTTATAGCTAAGAGCAGATCAGAATTAAATCTCAAGTTTTCAAGCACTTAATCTTCCTGCGTTGATCTGTGCCGGGCAAACCTCACTGAAGATTAAAGTAGTTTATTTAGGCCACGACTTTTCATATTCATCAAGTCATCTGCTGGGTGAAGACTGTGGAAATCTGTTTGCATGCATTGTTATTTCAATGGTTGAAAATGTCACTTTCATTTATGAGAAGTTGAGCTGACAGCCACATTTTGAAAAAAGAAAAGAAAAAAAAAAAAAAGAGAGAAAGGTTTTGAAAAGAGAAGATTAACCCAAAAAAAAAAAAAAAACCCAAAAAAAACAGGATATTCTGTAAATTGATATGCAACAAAAGCTCTCGTTTGCACTGGAAGCCACTGAGGTTGCATGATAAACAATTTAACCACAAGGTGACAAGAATTTCCCCTTTTCTAAAAATGTGAATGATGATAAAACCTCTTGGTCAATCAATCATTTAAATAAAAGAAAAAATTAAGAAAAACAAAAAGTTATAAAACCTCTCTGACTAACACGACCCACTAAAGACACTACCTGACGTTAGCGCAGGTACGCCTCTTCTCTCCTGACCTTTATCCTTTTTACTGACCAGCTGCTCAGTTACTATGGCAACATCTAAGAAACAGGTAACCTGTTATGAACTGTGCGACCTCAGTCTGGCCAGGATTAAGTGTACCGCAGTTACAGACGCTTGTTTATGTGGAAAAATGAAAATGAAATCACCAATTTCAGAAGAAAAATGCTGAGAATCCATACACACATTCATCCAACCTGCCTCAACACTTTTGTTAAACTGAAGGCCGGGCTCAGTTAATTGAATAATAATATTTACGAGTCTTTTAAGATCAATTTTCAAATTAACTGACTAAATTAATGAGGTTGACACTACGCCTGCGTATTTAGCAAATGAAAAAGCCAGCCGATGACTTACAGCAGGCCTGATTCTTTTTCTCCTCCCCCCGGGACCAATAACTCGACTCATACTAGTTTAAAGGATCTGAAGAAACCATTTCTTTACGGCCAGATTTAAAACTCAGACGGTGAGATCTGAGTGTGATTTAAATTTGATTTCAAAATCAAAAGAGCCTAAATCTTTTCATAAATGCCTCAAAGCATTTAGATAAATAATGTAAAAGATATAAAATGCACAATAAATGTCACGTTCAGTGTAAAGCGAGCTCAAAAACCAATGTATAACATTAATTTAGGCTGGCTTTCTCATACAGACTGAATTAAAAACCACAGATTGAGGCTGCAGATATTTTCCCTCCATTTGATGAGTTTGACTTTTTTTTCTTGCTACAAGGGAATCTTGTTTGCTACAATGTTTATAGTGAGGACAAAGGCAGATAAATATCAGTTTCTGGTCACATCATTGCTTTCATGGAGATGCACACAGCCGCCTGTTACCACTACAAAGGGCAAAATGAGGAGATCAAAACCAGATCACCATCTGTGCTGTAGCACATTAATGAGTCTTACCTCTGTGAGAGCATGGAGCTGCCCCTCATGGACACACACGCCTATAAACCTGTGGGTAAAGTACAGGAACATATATTAATGTCAAGTCTAAACTTTTTAAACATTTCAAGGATTTTTTTTTTTTAGTATGGTGGACACACCCTGGACAGGTTCTATCACAGGGTATATTACACAACCATACAGTGTCTACAGTTAAAAAATGGTTTTATCAAATGCACGGCTGCTTTGAGAGGCATGTCCCGACAGAGGAAGCTGCCGGGCAAGTGTCGCGTCTGCTAATCTGAATCACTGAGCTGGAACTCGAGACAGTTTGTGGCTTCTGGTGCCTTTTGGAGCATTTCATTGCAATCGTTCAATAACATGTCTGCTGTACAGCTAATTGCACAAGTTGTTTTGCCGTTTGTTTTGTTTGTTTTAAATGTTTTTATCAGGTGTGGCGCACCAATGTGGTCTATGGACCTTTCATAGCCCACTCACTTTTACATCCATGTACACTTCAGGCTACATGGCTACGGCAAAAAGTGCCAAAGACTCTTGATAAAAGGTCATTAAAAAGTTATTTTCAAGTCAAGTGGCTTTATTGTCATTTCAAGCATGTGCAGTGGTACAGTACACAGTGAACCGAGACAACGTTCCTCCAAGACCATGGTGCTACACATGACATAAACAAACGCAGGACTACACAAAGTGCAATTGTGCAAAAAAAACCCAAAACAACAAACAAAACCAAAACAGTTCAACACCAGACAGAACTGAACGATACAGACACAACAGTGCAATCACTGACAATGAACCCACTGAAAATCTAGTCCGTGGGCTCTTCTTGTGGACCACACAAACCACATCCATCACCAGTGTTTGAAGGCCGAGTATTCTAAACAGTGTACGATGAGACATGCCATCACAATGAAAATCAAACACTGGAAAGAAATGTTGTTGTTTTTTTTAAATGAAAGAGGTAAAAACTGAGTTCATGTTAACAGTGAGATGGAAACCCAACATTTCAGTTACCTGAGTATGTTAGGGTGCGATAGTCGATTCATGAGCTGGACCTCCCTGAGCATGTTGGCCCTGTTACTGGCCAGGATGTTCATCTTCAGAGCCATCACCTGACCAGACACACGGTGTTGCACCTGGATGATGAAAGGGAAAGGAGCACAGATGCTTTATTTAGATCAACTGAAGCAACGAGAGCTGAAAAGCCGAAAAGACAATTTGTCATCACAAGCAAAAACACTTAAAATCTGCCTCACACCCCGGAAGAATCCATGACTGCTCCACATTTGGATGAAAGAAATATTTAAGACGCCTCACAGTTAACAGATGTATGGCTGAGGAGAGTAGGAGTGCGGCGCAGCGCTGGTGATGACGGATCTATCACACATGCATTAGTCACACCGTCAACACCCTCTGAAGCAATAAAAATCTAAGTGCTGACTGAATGATATCTGGAAACCGGCCACGAAACATTTAGAGGGTCGGTCGAGTTTCTTCCACACTCCTCTTGGCTGCTCGTCTGACCAAACCTGCTGCCATGACAATGAGGCCGTCTGGTATGGTAACTATGGCGATGCGACATGCTTCCTGGCAAGTGCATGTTTGTGCATATTTGCTTGGCAAGTAGTTTGACTTCCACAGAAATGTGTACGAGCAGCAGATGAAAGCAAAACACTCTGGGAATGTTTGCTGTGCGTGTGCGTGTGTATGTGCGTGTGGTGAGAAAGGCCAGCACTTTAAGTGTTTTACATGTACGAGTAAGTGTGAAAGAAAAATGTTGGCATTGTGAATCAATTAGAGAGGACTGCTGCTAAATTCTGACTTCGTTTTCTATCATTTTATGCATTCTGACCCCTCACGCTTCATCTGCTGCCTTTAGGGATTTTTTGTAATTTAACAAGTCTATAAAAGTTAATTGTTTTACCATTAAAACAACCACAAATACTTTGGACCACAAAAAAACACAGACAGAAGAGAGCAAAATATGTAACCACGCCAAAGCATTATTGTTACAGCCAATTAAGCTGGAATTAAAATAACTCATTTGTCCTCTAGTAGTGCTACGTGTATTCAACTGGTTTACTTTGGATCCTGTCCAAAATGTCTAAAAGTATGTCTAGCAGCTCTGTGAGAACACACTCTTGCATGAAGGAGCCAACACCAAAAAACACAACATGCTGCACTGCTCCAGTAAATGCTGAGCCTTGCTATGACGCGCAACAGTGTTGTTGTAACATCTCACCACGAACATTTGTAACAGGGTATCTGTGCATTTACAAGTTTACCAGTTACTGAAAAATAAGTACGTAAATGTGAGAAAAGGACATT